GCCTTCATGGTGGTTTTGGCCTTCATGGCACCGGACTTCATGACCTTCTTCATAGCGGTCTTCATAGGCAGCGCCATGACTTCGAAGAGAGAGCTGAGCTGAATCACAAGGGCGGGCTTGAACCAGAACGGGCTCAGGAAATTCAAAGCAACGGCTCTGTCGTTCCCATCCGCTCTGGCCTTAAGCAATCATGGGGCTCTAGCATCCAGACCCCAGAAATCCCCCAAACCCTAAACTTCCCCAGACCCTAAGCCCCAAAACCGAAACCCTCAGCCCTCCGCCCGTTTCCATAGCACCCAACCGATTTCAGATGCGAAACCCCCACCTGCCGACCGTCATTGACCGACTCCACCGTGTAGACCGGCAGCTGTGCCAAAGAGCCGTCGTCCGCCTGAGCCAGAAACTTTGGAGGGGCTTGAAACGTGCATTTTTTCTTTTTTTTGTTGGGGGGGGGGGNNTTCTAGGTATTAAGGCCCCTGTAGTATCCATATTCGGTTCATAATATTGGGGGTAGGGTTTAGAAGCAAAGGCTGGGGGTCTCCCCAAAATCTAGCCAAAAAGCTCCAGAAGAAGCCTGAAACCCTACTTCAAATCCCCGAAACCCGAAACCCTCGCAGCGTTTTTTCGCCTGAAACTGGTTGTACGCCAGGACGACTGTGCCGTTCTCTCTGAGCTGGAACTTGCTCAGGTCCTCCTCCTTCAGCATCTCATGCCTCGAGGGCTCCGGATGTAGCCTTTAGGGGTTAGGGTTTAAGGATTTAGCCTTTCAGGTTTAGGGTTTAGGTTAGGGTTGAGGGGTTAGGGTTTAAGGATTGAGCCCTAAACCCTAAACTCTAATTTCCGGGAACCCTACCAGCTTCTTTCTCGGAACGGGTATAACTCGAAACCCTATAGATTATCAAACAAGCCGTATAACTTACATATGTGATTATCACACCATCTGGAATATGGCAAAACCCTTCCAGAACGGGGCTGCATTTAGAGGGTGCACGGGAAATGAGACTAGATATGCAGTTGGTAGGCACTTAGGTTTCTATCGTATGTCCCCTTGCACTGTCGGGGGGTCGATGCTGTCATGGAAGTACCCGCATGAGTTGTCTTTATTGGGAAACCCTACACCTAACCCCGAACCCCAAACCGGGTCCCAAGCCCCTCTAGTAGTTCCGTTTTGGGGTTACCTTATAGGATTCCATATAATAGGGTTAAGGGTGTAGGGCTTAGGGGTTGTCTAGGGGTTTGGGGGGATCAAGGCAGTAGCATACTATTTTGAATTTGCAGAGAAGTCCCACACCCTAAATCCTGCATGCTCGACCCCTAAGCCCCAAGCCATAAGTCCTAGACCCCATGCTAAAGCCATTCTTGAATCCGAAAAACTCAAACCGTGGCAAAACACCACTGGTCTTCAACCCTAAACCCTCCAGTCCTAAACCCTTATGTTTCCAACCTCCAACACAGCTCCAGCCTAAAAGCCTCAAAGCCTTGAAAAAGGGCCCTAAACCCTAAACCCTGAAACCCAAAACCCTAAACCCAAAATCTTAAACCCTGAACCCAAAACCCCAAACCCAAAACCCTAAACCCTAAACCCACAAGGGCCCTCGGTCCAAGACGCAGGTGCTCGACCTCAAGCTCTGGCCAGTCCCCATCGATGTGGAGCACGGCGTCCGCCGTGAAGAAAATCCTGGGCACCGGGCTTAGGGTTTGGGTTTAGGGTTTAGGGTTTAGGGTTTCTGTCTGGTGCTTAGTAGGGAATGGGTTATAGGGACTACCATAAGAGACCTTAAGGGACTATCATAGGGATCCATTCCCCCATTCTCTACTAAGCACCAGACAGGATTTAGGACCCTGGAGCTCAGGCTTTACCGTTTGGGCCCGTTTGGGGTTCAGGGATTAGGCGATTTCTAGGGCTTGGGGTTCATTGCTTAGGATTTGGGGTTTAGGCTGGACAGTCTTCGAGTTTACTGTGGGCCGGGCAGGCGGGTGGGAGGGGGGTTGCGGGACAGCCTCAGGCCCCGATTCTGCGGACCCTGATCCCTGCTAAACCCCATGTGGGCAGTTGACGAAATTAGCGTTCCATTTTGGATCCCCCACATGCGGCATCACTCTGAAAATAAGGGAACCACGGAAGGTATCCTTCCTTAGAGAATCCCTCTTTGTGCTTCCTCTGATGTAATGTAGGATCTTACTACTAGTATCCCCACAAAAAGCCAACATAGACACCCATCACTCCCAAGGAAGTGGTAAGGAGTCCTGAGTAAACCCTAAACCCTAAACCCTAAACCCCTAAACCCTAAACCCGAAACCAAGCTCCCGGTAAGGAGCCCAGGACCCCCCAGGAACCCAGGAACAGAAGGGAGCCCTTCTCAGAAATTGGGTAGTTTTGTCATAAGGAACCTACTGTTGATGGACAAAATCCTGCATTACCCATTATAAGGAATATACCATAATTCCCATAGTTTAAGGTCCTTAAAGTCATGCAGGATTTTGTCCATCAACAGTATGACCACCAAAAAGGGAAATAAGGGCCCGCTGGGAAACCCTAAAGCCTTAACCCTACACGCTAAAGCGAGAGAGCCAAAGAGTCTCAGGCAGGGCGTTGATGGCTTTCAGGAAATCGGCCTGCTCCTGCGGCTTCCCGGGGGTCTTATAAGCCCTGAACCCTTATCCCCTAAACCTAGGGCTTAGGGCTTAGGGTTTCGGGTTGAGGGGCGTAAGGTTTAGGGCTTGAGGTTGAGGGTGAAGGGTTTTGAGAGCCCCTACCAGCTTCTGGGAACCTTCTGGGAGCTTCTGCAAAGCTCGACAAGAATGGGAGACCTGGCAAGGGCACGAATGGAAAGGCATTCTCGGAGGTTAAGTAAGACTAAACACATAGCGCAATGAAGTGGCCTTGCCAATCGCTGGCTCTACTTCGAGGTTCATGGGCAGTTCTGAGAAGGGCTATATGTCCCCGAATATGAGCTTTGCCCTAAACCCTAAACCC